AAAAAAATTCAAAATTTTGCAGGGGCGAGTCAAAATTTTTGCAGGGACGAAACTGAAAAATACATTACAAATTAACTAAAATTAGTGGACGAGCACACAATGTTGGGAGGGCGGTCGCCCCCCTATCTCCGTCTCTGCTCATGATTACTTTGTTCTTCTAAGATCGAATGTATTTGTGATTAGCTGTAAACAAAAAAAGATTATGTTATGCATCATGACCTCAAAGCTTGCATAGGCACAAATGCAGTAGAAAGAATTTGACATAATCTTTATTATCAGAATATGTAAATAAATTACAAACTATGACAATAATAGAAATATTCACTAAACTATCAACTATACGAGAAAATTATCTAGTGAATACTTTCAAATAAAAAAATTGAAAACATAAAAAATAAACACCTTATTCTAATTGTTATAAAAACATAGTTCGACTAAATATTTATAAGAGCTTAATACAAATCAAAATGAAACCACGGCTATTAACAGTAAAATCTAGCAACAATGATAAAAATAAATAATAAATTGAGTGACATGACCAGGGACTTGAAACGCAAATAAAAAATAAATAAAAATGGTTCAACCAAAAATTTAAGAAAAGCCGCTCAAATCAAAATAAAACGACAGAACTACTAATAAAATATAAACAAAGAGTCACCCCAAACATTTGTCGGAGAAGCCTTTCTTAGATAAGTAGATTCAGACGACATATCAATAAGAATGTGAGAAGTATGATGACATCCACTCCAACTTCACCATAAGGTTTGACCAGACCCCTAGGTCTATACGTAGAAGGTTGGAATAGAACTAGAATGAACAAGTGCCCTTCAGAACTACCTTTAAAAGCATAGTCGTGAACGAATGCCCAAAAGTGGAATTGCCAAAATCTAGAACTCAATCACGCGTTTGGTAACAAGTTGAGATCACGCTACGGCTTCATTTCCTTAAAAGTGGAAATGGAACGAAATCATTTTCTTCATTTTTCCGTCCGAGAGATTTAACTAAGACAATCTCATGTTTTGCCACCCAAAGTGCTTTCGCCAACTCAAGATAGTTCCATTGTGTAACTCTCTCCCTTCATTTCCCTTCATACGATTATGACTTGTACTCTCCCTTGCTCCTTAACAGCACCCCCACCAGTGACGCATGGGCGGAGGAAAGAGCTAAATTGAGCTCTTTTATCTTAAGTCAATTGCCTCGAGAAGGGATTTATCCTTCAGCTATAGGATTAGAGCAGTCCGCCTTCATCCCTTGCTCTCTCTCAAACGACACGTCTTCTCCTCTTCATCGGACCAGTCCTTCTCCTAAGTCTGAGATATTTGGTCAGATCTTGCTTGTCCATTTACTTCGTTTGTATCTTTCAGTAGCTCCTTTTTCTTTTCTAAACAAATCCAAAAACCTAATGGATTGAATTCTTTGTTGGCCTGCTTCTCTAAGACCAGAGTCAAT